AGGGAGGCGTTCTCCTTCCGGGGCAGAGGGCACCACTTCCTGCCCACCTGCCCCTCCTAACAAAGGCCCCGGCCCTGGGCCCACCCCGAGGAAGAGAGCCCCATAGTGCCTGTTTCATTTCAGTTCTTGGTTATAAAACATGTACTTTTGTTTTCAAGCAAGCCACAGAGAAGTGTGTGAAGTGAAACTCGGAAGCCATCTCTCCCGGGTCCCTCTTCCCCTCTGAAGTTCAGTTCCTCACACAACCTGCCACTCAGCGGCCATGCTCCCAGTCGAGCATTTTCTCTGGACTCCCATCCCACACATCATCTTCTTCTAACTTTCTTTTCTTCTTGCTGAGGATAGAACCCTGGACTCACACAGGCCAGGAAGCCGCTCTACCACTGAGATGCACCTCCAGCCCATTTACAACCTTTTTTGTTGTTGTTAAAAGCAACACTGTAGTGTCACTACCTTCCATCTATAGGTCCATCTGTGAACACTTGAGCTAAGGTATTATGAACAGCACTGGATTTAAGACCCTCATGTGCTTCTTTCTTTCCTTTCTTGCTCTTTCTTTCTTTTGATGGGGTCTCACTATGCAGTTCAAGCTGCCCTTGAACTTTGTAGTCCAGGCTGGTCTGGATTTCACAGCAATTCTCCTGCCTCAGCTTCCCAAGTGCTAGAATGACAGGCATGCGCCCCCATGCCTGGCTACATCCATCATTACTTCAGCTCCTCTGTTTGCCCACTTGATAATTCCCTTGTTCACTAGGTTACCATGTGGACGCCTCGTTAGGCCAGGCCTGGGCAGTACACAGGACTTGTACACAGACTCTGAATTCTTCTGCACATGGAAGAATGTCAGCCTGGAAGTGCTGAGGGCCTGGGCTGTGTGTCACACACCAGGGCACATTGATCGTGTCCATTTCCCCAGGCCTGACCCACTGTGGCTGCTGGGCGCCCTCCTGCATGGCCTGTAGGACAGCCAGCCTTCGTCCAGGTGGACAATGATGGCTGGAGATCGCTGGGTCGGGTGGGTCCAGGGCAGCTTCTCTGGGGCTGGGCCACCCCACACGGCTTCCTCCCGCCCAGAGCCTTGAATCAGGTCTTCCCTCTCCCACCCAGCCCTGGCCTCTGCCTGGCCACAGAGCGGGAGGCTGCCTTCCGGTTGAAGAGAGGAAGCTCCGTCCTCAATTGTTCTGCGTGGAGCCCCGAGCACAGACTCCGACTCCAGGAAGAGGCCACAGGGCCAGCAGGGACCACCCCCAGGGCCTGTCCCCATCCTAAGGGGGTCCCCGGGGATGCGGCGTGGAAGGGGAGCCAGAGGCAGCTGCACCTGGCCCAGGCTGGCCTCGCTCCTCCAAGCCACAAAGACCCTGGCAAGGCCCCATTGCCTGAGGTTCTGCTGCTACAGAACGAGACCAAACACCAGGGGGAGAAGGCAGCAACCCTGACAGCACAACCATGTTCATGTCTCGTGCTGCCAGGAGCTGCAGAGTAATAATCACTAGGATTCAGGATTCACAACTATGGTCCTGAGGGCGACTGCACATGCAGCACACAGTAAGCACCCAGCACTGAGCTAAGCAAGCACCCTCACATGTCAACGCACTAAGCCCTCAAGCCTTCCTAGGGGAGATGCTGGCCTTCCCATTTCATAGACAGGAACTTTGAGGCTCTGAAAGGTTAAGGGACTGGCTTAGGGGTCTGGGTCGGGATCCATCCACGGCTGTGCCCAGGCACAAGGAGGCGGCATTATCAAGCCAGAGAGACCCTTTCTTTTGTTTTTTGGGACAGGGTCTTGCTATGTAGTTCGGGCTGGCCTTGAACTCAATAGGTAGCCCAGGCTGGCCTCAAACTTGCAGAGATCCTCCTGCCTCAGCCTCCTGCGTGCTGGGATTACAGGACTATGCCACCACGCCCAGCAAACCAGAAAGGCCCTTTCTATTTGAGGTGGCTCCCTCACTCCCAGCCCTGCCCACTGGCAGAACACGGAAGCCGGCCTCTACTGGCTGAGGCTGTGTCTGTGGGCCAGCTCCCCGGGGGCTCCGGCACAGAGCAAACTAGGGACAACTCCAGGTGTCTCCCCCACACAGGTGAGAAGCTGTGACTTGTCACTTAGAAGGCTCTGTGCCAGCTGACAGGTGGCAGCTGAGGAATCGCGGGGGACGGCTATGGAGGTAGGTGTCTCCAACAGTTTGCAGGGGGCTGGCTTTGAGAGCAGCGTGGGCTGCCCAGATCCACACCAAGCCCTCCTGAGCAGGCACAGAGATGCTGCCTTCCACTCTGGCCTGTCCGAGGCCGGGCCTTCACGGCGTGGTAGTTTTTGCCTTTGATTCCATTTCGAATATTTCAAACCCAGAATGTCACTGTGAAAAAGTTCACCTTCCGGCTTAGAGATTAATTTCAAGCAGGTATAACATTTGGGGGTATTATGGATTTCGGCTAAGTATTTGGAATTAATATTTTGGATCCAAGCCCATTTGTAGAGAACAGGAGCTCTAATCTAGCCTTGGCCACCTGGCTGTCCCCTGCCCAGGCCTCTGGAGCCCAGTGCCCGGGTTTCGCGTGAATGATTCAAACTGGGTTGAGGCTAGAGGTTCTCAACCCGGGTGATTTTTTCATTCCTCCCAGGTGACATCTGTGGTTGGCACAACTTTGGGGACACCCACCGGGTAGAGGCCAGGAGTGTGGTCAGTGTCCCCAGCCGCCCCTGCCAGTCCCCGGCACAAAGATGCAGCCTCCAGGCCCTTGGCTGGCAGAGGCTCCTGGTCTCCCCCACCACCCGGGCTCTCACGCTCTGCTCGGGGCTTAGACACTCGCAGGCAGCAGTTATCAGAGGAAGTCTGAGGTAGAGCAGCCAGAAGGTTCTTTCCAGTCCCATCTAAATGCTGCTATTCGAGTTCAGGGAGAAGCTAGCCTCAGGTTGTGTCCCCACAGGGCACAGGGTAGACACCAGCCTGGAGGAATCCGGCTGTGGGGACCATGCTATCCATGAGTAATCTGCGTACTGTGCCTTTCCCCGCAAGGAACCTGGCCCTGGCCCCTGGCTGATCCCCACGCACTCCAACAGCCCCATATGCCTGTGTGTGCCCCGAGCTGTCCCTGCCAGCCTGCAGGGAGCCTCGAGCTCAACCCACTCCCTGCAGCTGGTCCTTCCCAGCCTGGAACATGGATGAAGGACAAGGGAACCTCCAGGGGCTGATGGAAAGCAGGGAGAGAACTCAGCCTTCAGCCTCTCAAACCACCTCTGACTGACTGGCTCTTGTTTTAGAGGGCTAACGGTTGGGGCGTGGGCCCGGAAAGAGGAGGGCCCGGGCAGGGGTCATCACAGGAGCAGCTGACACCTGTCGTCCTTCTGTGGTTTCAACCCTGACCCTCGGAGCTACAAAGTGCATCGCTCAGCACTGTCCACTGGAAGCCCAGTGACGATCGCGGCCATGTCAGGGCCAGCGGCCACCTGTACAAGGTAAGGAGGCCCGGGTGGCCACAGGCGAAGGTCTTCGGAGTAATCCTCACAGCGAGCCACACAGAAGGCACTAGGACGAGCTCCAGCTTAAGGGTCGGGAGGCTGAGGCTTGGGTGGCTGAAAGGCTCCAGGAAGTGGCAGAGCCCGGCCTGCTCAGGCCTGCTTGGCCACTGCAGAGTCTAAGATCTCATTTAATAAGGAATGAGGACCTGATGCAGTAAGGCCCAGGTTAAACCCAGGTCCCCGACTCTCAGGCCACTGCGCAGAAATCAGGGAAGAGACCAGGCTCAGCCTGGGGGCCCCCAGGAATACCTCTGTTTCTCGACAACAGTCCCGGATGCCTTTCAAAGCCGGGGGAGGCTTCGGGGCAAAAGATGTCTCAGGAAAGGTCCTCTCAAAACAGCCAAGAGTCATGTTTCCCTCCGTGGGGTGGAAACTCAGCCCCCCTACCCCCAGCTGCGGGACAGGGGCTGGAGGGGAGCCCCTGGGTGTCTCAGGGGCAACTGCAGTATGCTGTGTCCCTTAGGACTTAGTCACTAAATGGCGAAGCCACATGCTCTGCCCAGCCACTCTCCCGCTTCCAGGTGCCCCAGGGTTTCCCTAACCAGTGATGAGTTCCAACTCTCCGGCAGCCTCTCGGGCAGCAAGGCCAGGAAATGATGTGGCACAGAGTGGACACAGGGAGAGGGTATGGGACACTGTCCATGGCCACTCACGGGGGTCAAATCGGAGGCCACCTGGCTCTTAGAGGCCTGAGAAGGCTCACCTTTCACTGCACTGGGTCCAGGGCAGTGGCCCAAGTCAGCTAACTGTCCCAGTGGGCTGCTCGGGGTCAGGGACCATGCCAAAGCAAGACCCAGGGTCCCAGGGTCCCCACTTCATCACCCAGGACTTCTCAGAGACCAAGCTGCATGGAAGCGGCCAAGGAGCTCCTCCTAGCCGTTCCCAGCCAGGCCCTACGACACCAACACTGGACACTAATATTTGTCACCTGCATAAAGCAGCCTTCTGCGGGGGAGACACAGCCCTACAATGCCAAGCGGTGCAGTTTCCCAAAACTAACACGAGGGAGGCCTTTTGCCCACTGAGTGGCAAACACTCCCCTGGGGCAGGAGAGGCAAGTTCCCTCAAGCACCCAGCCTGGGAAGAGTTGAGGCCAGCGGAAGGCCCTACATATCTGGCACGTGGGCCCCTGCAGGGCAAGCCAGGGGGCAGAGCAGTGGCCTCTCTGGTGTCCTTGATGGCCCTGATATTTCCCGGGGGGGGGGGGTGCCATACTTGCTTCTCTAAAGACACAGGGAGGAATGGTTCTCTACTTTTCAGGGATCTTGCAAGAGTGGACACAGGGACCCAGGGGTTGGGACAATGGCCAGGGAAGTCTTAGGGCTGTGCTCCAGGGGTGAACAAGTAAACCCTCAGGGAGTCACCTAGCCAAGTAGGGTGCAGAGAGAGGCCACCTCCACTGCTGCCTGAAGCCCCCTGTAACCTCCACCCTCCCTCTCCACTGCGGGTCCCCGCTCTCCCCAAAGCTGGGCCCTCGGGTACTCACATGCCCTGCTCGCCATACTGGTTGTAGAACTCCATGTGGCTGCATGCCTGGATCCAGCCCACGATCCATGTCTCCCTCTTGGGGATGGGCGGCATGACCACCTGGGCCGAGGCCCGGAAGTGGGGCGTGCGATATCGGAGCACCACGCTGGAGGACTCATCGATGCTGGTGGGGACCGGGTCGATGGAGGCCTTCACGTCGATGACCGTGATCCCTTCTCGGAAGACTCTGGCTTTGCCCCCAATGCTCTGGATGCAGCCCATGGTACACAGCACCGCCCGGATCTCCAGGGAAGGCCAGCAGTCCCAGCAGAAACCGGGCATTGAAAGGGCAGAGGCCGAGCGACGCAGACCCAGTGTGGAGGCGCGGCGATCCAATCTCACAGCTCAGGGCCGATATCCATAGGGTAGAGAACAGCGCAGGGAGGCCGGGCGCTGTCTGGCACAACCGCGGGCCTGTTTATAAATAGGGATTTCGCGGCATCTCAAGAGCCCTGGGCTCCCTCTCTCTCTTCTCTTAGCAGTGGACAAAAATCTCCGATGTTCCTTGGGTTAAAAAAAGAAAAGTTTGGAGTTTAATGGACCAGCACGCTGTTCTGACATCCAGCCCTTGTGCGTCTCAGTCTTGGGACAGCTGCTTCGGTCGCTCGCTGAAAGCTTCGGGAAAGCCGCGAGGCGTCCAGATACGGAAACGAGGCGGGCTCAGTCCCCAGGGCTGTCGCGCTGCCACCCTCGCCGCAGGAGCCCGGCTTCCTCCCTCGGCCTTCCGCACGCACTGCCCGGCACCCGCGCCCGCCCGGTGGCGCCCAATCGGCGGGAGCGCAGTTTCCGTCCGCGCAGCCGAGGTCCCACTCGCGGGCACGGGCTGGACGGCCCCACGCGGGCGCGCCGCCTGACTTCGCCGCGGTCGCTGTCGCCCCCCGCCGCCGCCGTGCGGGGCTCTGGAGCCGTGCGCGAGGAGAACCTGCGGGGAGGCGGAAGGGACAGCGCAGCGCGTCAAAGTTGAGCCCAACTTTGCAGCGGAGGTGCTCGGGGGCGACGGCGCGTGTGCGCGGGCTGGGAGGTCTCCCCAGAGACGGTGTCCCCACCCCCAGCGCCCCCGGCTCCGTCAGCGGCGGCCGCTCCACGGCGCGCACCAGCGAATAATCGCGGCCGGTGACATCGCCGCTGACCCTCTGGCCCGGGCGCGGCGGGGACTCCAGGTGCACTGCAGGGACTGCGCGACCTGCACCCCTGCTGGGTTACCCCCGCCCCCTGGGGGCGCACTCTACTCCCCGGGGGCCGACCGATCGGCACGCGCCCCTGCGCGTGTCCGGTCGCCCAGCCCCGGGACGGCGTAGCGCCCCGCGCCGCGGTCCCTTCGCTAGCCCCCAGAGGAACGGGGCCCCGCGCGTCCCACGCGCTCGGCGGCCAGGAACTTTGCGAGCGCGCCCCGACCCGGGCGCCGCCACTCACCTGCCCCGCGGCCGCTCCGCGCTCCCGGCCGCGCCCTCCGGACGCCCGACCCTCCCCGGACAATGTCCCTGCGCTCTGTCTCTACTGGGGGCAGCCGGCTCGGGGTGCTGGGAGCGGCCAGGGCGGAGGCTGAGGCTCGGGGCTGTCTCGCCCCGAACCCGCGTGCCTCCTTTATTTTATGACCATGGTGAGCGCGCTGTCGCCGCTCAGCCCCGCGCCGCGCCGCAGATGCCCTGCGCGTCCCGCGCCGCCCCGCTCTGCTGCGGCATCGGAAAGGCAACCGGGTCAAACTTTGCCGAAACTCGGCCCCTCGCGCCGGCCCGGCCCCCGCGCCCGCCCGCAGCTGCCGGCCCGAGCGCAGCCGGCCACGCAGGATCGCGCTCCCCGCGGGGAGGGATGCAGGTCCGCAGGCGGCGGCGGCGGGCCGGCGAGCACCGCCTCCTCCTCCCGCCCGCGGTCGCTCCTGCACCCCCCCCCCGCCCTCCCCCCAGATCCCCCTCCTCCCTCCCTCTCTGCAGCTGCAGGGGGAGCCGAGCTCCGTGCAAAAACGACATTTCCTTTTCGAGCAGCCCCGGGGATTCTGGGTAGTGTAGTTCCGCTCTGTATCGGGTCCAGGGGGGCCGCTCCCTATGCCCTTTGACCTCTCGGGCCAGGGACTTTTCTGGGCTCCGGCCTCTGGAAGAAGGGCTCCCCTGCCCCAGGGGATCCTGGCTGCGGGGGGTTTCTGGGAGACTCCAGGGCTGGGAAGGTTGGGGTGATGGGGATAGAAGTATGGGGGGACTTGGTTAGGGGTACCCGTGGGAGACTCCAGTGAGAGTCATCCCTTCATAGCCCTCAGCCCAGGCAGGGAAGCCTGCTGTGATGTCATTTCGCAGAGGAGGAATCCAGAGCTGGGCCACGGGACCTGCCCAGAGCACCACCCTAGCAGGTGTCTGTGGAGGGAGGACCCGGGGTCTGAGTGCAGAATCAAAGGGGTTGGGGAGGGCCGTGGAACTTCCTAAACAGCCTCCTGCCAGCAGTGCCCTCCAGCCCAAGGGATTTGTAACATCAAGAGCCACATCAAACCCGTGCCCGCCCCACCTCCGCCATGATGCTCACTTCCACAGGTGCCCACTTGGCACAGGCCTGGAGGGGTGAGGGTTCCGGCCACTGTGGGGTCTCTCCCAAGGGGACGACCAGCCAGCTGGGCAACACCAGCTCAGCCACAGCGCAGGAAGCATCCAGCCACACTGTCGGCCCATGTCCCCTCTGAGGTCATCCTTTTGCCATTCTGGTAGTAGCTTATTCCTAGTCCTCGGACGCAGCCCAAGATTGTCAGGGTGGCAAAGCCAGTGGTATGGGGTGGCCCCTTGGACTGTTCACCATCACGTGGTAGAACCCAGACAGCACCTGGGTCCCCGTAAACCTCCGTTACTGGGATGGGGTCTTCCCTGGCCTCTTCGCCCACAGTGACCTCTCCCTGACTTGAACTCATGGCCCCCACAAAACATCCTGCCCTTCTGGGGCTCCCTGCAGCCATCAGATCATAATTACATGTAAGGAAGATATCGGCTTCCTGGGTGTGTATCTCATTTCCTGTCCCCCATCACCCCAAGGGAGTAGGATCCCCCCACACCAGGTTAGCCCTCAAGGGTGAGCCTGCCACTCAAGTTCAAGGGTGCCCCATTCGAGTGAGTCAAGGACCCTAAAGGTTCCTGGGTTCCTCTCATGGCCAGCTGGGAGTGGTAATATCAGTGTGGTCAGTGGTGGAAAAGCTAATGCCCTGCTCAAACCAGTGTTTGACCTTGACCTTGACCTTGAGTGGTCGGAGAAACCTGGGATCAGAGGACAGAGACTTCTCAAGAGTCTGCATCTCAACCTGGATCCATCCAGCCCCAAAGCCCACACTCAGCTCCCCTGGGGCTCACTGCCTTTAGCTGCTCCATGCTAGGATTGCCTGGCCCCCAGGAAGTCCCTCCCAGGGGAGTCCACGGGTGGGCAAGGGTTGCTGAGTGGAAGACCCTGCCCCCCACCCACACCCCACCCCGGGCTCTGCTTTGGCCCACAGAGAAGTCTAGGATAGGAGTCCCCAGCTCCAGCCTGATCTCCCCAGTCCCCACCTGTTCTTCCAGGAAGCCTGGCTGTGAGCCCCAGGGCTGGGCCACCCCATCGAAGTCCCTGAGGGTGGAGAGACCCCCCCCAGGACCAACCTGCACTCAGGGTCACAGTAGGTCCTCCAAAGTCTCACCCCCTCCAAAGAAGGGGTCACCCTGTGGCCTGAAAAGCATCTTGCAGGAGGGAAAAGTCTGCTCTACTGACAGAAATGTTAAATACTGGAATTCTGTTGCCCTAGGAAACAGGGTTCTCGCCCCAATTGTTGGGGACCAGAGAGAGACCCAATGGCAAGGCTTGGAATGTCTACCTGGGAGGTGGCAGGCGTGGCCACAGAGCAGCAGGTGGCCGAGGGGAGGTCCAGGTGCAGGACCCACAGGTCTCTCTCGCCCAGGGGCCCTCACCTCTGCAGGGGAAGGGACAGGTGGCAAAAGCCCTGGTCTCACAGGCTGCCCTTAGAGGTGGGCGGAGGCCAGCAGGGTCATCGAGGGAGGTCTCCAAAGCTACACCCCAAGTTGACTGGCCCCCAGCTCAACTAGACTTCAGTCTCCACTGAGGGACAGTGGCGTGGTGTGGGGGGCAGCGGGAGGCTCTGGGGTACCCTTTGGGGGGCTTGAGCAGGTCCAGCCCACAGTTCTCCAGGGCCTGCTGGGCTCAGGCTGCTTGGCCACCTCCTGTCACCCTCGAGGTCATTTGTCCTCCACCACCAAAGGGGCACCCAGGCCAGGGACTGCAGCACTCTCGTCCCTGTGGTCACTCCGGGAGTGATGGCAGTGTGTGAATTCGCATAAATAACCAGTGTGCACCGGGATGTGTGGGTGGGAGCGGCAACAATGGCTGTGGTCCGGGAGGGGGTGTCCAGGACGCATCTGGGGGTGCAGGGCAAAGGGCACGGTGTGACTGGGGCGTGTGAGGAAGTGCGGTAGACGTGAGTGTGCGCGCGCGTGCGTGAGTGTGGGGTTTGCATCTCTGTGGGAGGGTGGAGCTGTGTGTAACGCATGGTGTGTGAGTGTGTCCAGCCAAGTGTGGGTGACGTGTGCAACCGTGTGAGCAGGCACAGGCAGTGTGAACGCAGAGGACCGAGTGTGCACTGTGTGTTGTGTATCGGGAGGGTACACAAGTGTCTGTATGCGCGTGCGTTGGCGTGTTCCCGTGGGTGGGCGGATGCAGGGTGGGACCCTGGTGCAAGTGTGGGGCTCCCGGTGGGCAGCAGGGGCCCCCGGTCCCCAAGGGCGGCGCAGGTCCCCATAGCTGGGCGCCCCTGACAGGCTGGGGGCGCGGGCCGCCGTGGTGGTGCAGGGGCGGCGCCCTACCCGGAGCACCCCACACGCAGGCGCCCGGAGGACGGAACTGCGAGCGGGGACAGCAGGCTGGCCGCAGCCTGGGATAGGGTGCGGCACTGGGAGTTCTCCAAGGTGCTAAAATAAACCCAGCGAAGGATCAGGTTTCCCGACCAAAATAACCCAGGAGCGGCCTTCGAAAAGCAACTGAGAAAGCACAGGGGCCAGTGAGCCAGGGCTCGAGGCAGGGATGGAAAGGGTCCTCCACGGGGCTCCCCGCCTCTCCTGGCAGGGGCCCCGCCCCCGCCCCCAGCCTCTTGCCCACCCCCCTCCCCCTCTCTTCTGAGTCTTCCCAAATAGCAGCCCCTCCTGGCCGTGGGCCTTCAGGGTGCGGGCAGTGGACCACAGAAAGGGAAAATCCATTAGGGCACCAGGGGAAGGAGCCAGGATGATGTCACAATCCAGGGGTCCCAGCTGGCTCACGGAGCTCCTGTGACCTTGCGGTCAACCCATGACGCCACGCAGGTGGGGACGGAGACACCACGGGACACAGGGCCGAAGGAGGCTCCCCCGCTCAGGGCAGAGCTAGTCATGTGGCCTGGCAGGTATCCCCACCCTTCCCCTCTGCAGCAGGAAGAGGACAGCTGAACTTGCCCTATCCCCAGAACGGTCTGGGGTCCCTTCTGGCTTCCTTGCATCTGGGCACTGCAGCAGTGGCCGGGTGACCCACAGGGACACCCACGGCCTCATCTGCCACTTGTCACTTGCCCCACTTGTTGGCATTCTGCTCTGCTGCCCCGCCAGCGCCCCAGCCTGAGTGTCTCAGGACAGCCGCGCTGCATAGTGCTGAGCACAGTAGTCACAAAGCGACAGCGCCTACACGTCCAGCAGCGGAGGACTGGTTCACAGAGCTGCCCTTCTCAGGGCAAGGTGGCTGGAAGTCACTGAAGAGTGAAGGCATTGTCATGGGAATGGGGCCAAGTTTACTGTTAGGTGAAAAGGGTGAGTTACATTTTTCAAAGGGTGTAGAATGTGATCCTATTTTTGAATACATATTCGTGTGTATGAGTAGATGTGCCATACACAGATACAGTTTGTTTATATATATTCCTTTCTGATTATTAAAAGAATACTTGGTTGGTATAAAATGTTATAATAATTGGAAATGAAATAAGCAAGAATCCTTTTATGACCTGACCAGCTTGTGTTAACTGTACTGATTTCCAAGTGGTGGGATTACACTTGTATTATCTATATTTATTGAATTTCTTTTTTTATTTTTTTTGGTACCAGGAATCGACATGCTTGCCAGGCAGGCACTGTGGTGCTGAGCTACATTCCCTGCCCTTTATTGAATTTCTTAGAGTAAGTAATAACTTTTTTTTTTGAGACAGGGTCTCACTATATACTTAAGGCTGGCCTTGAACGCACTACGTAGCTCAGGCTGGCCTCAGATTCACAGTGATCCTCCTGCCTCAGCCTCCTGAGTGCTGGAATCACAGGCATGCACCACCACACTCAGCTAGTAGTAACATTTTAGTAGTAAGGAAAAGTAAGAATATTGGCTAATGTTATACTATTTGATAAACTAGACATGTGTGTCCTGTCTCCTCAGCTAGCCTGAGGGAAGAGATCAATGAAAGCATTGATTGAATGAATGAATGAAGCCAAAGGTAGGGCTGTGGTGAGTGCTCCTGAGGGTTTATAGATGAAAATTGCTCTGACTTCTCAGCACCTGGGAAGGTGACCAGCTCGTCCCAGCTTACAGAGGACTGCACTAGCAGGTCCCAGATCACAAGGGAATGCATGTAGCCTTTATACAACCCTCCCACCGGTCCTTGAAGGGGGACACAGAGGCCAGGAGGGGTGGGAGGGCCTCCTGTGGTTTTTCCTGAGCTAAACCAGACCCCAGGGCCCTTCTCAGATCTTGCTGGCTGCTCTGGCCAGACTGAAATGCTGACCCAGGCCTCTGGGTATTAATAGCCCCATCCAGGCCAGGCTCCTCAGCCCGCCAAGGCCAGCCAAGGTCATGGACAAACACACTCCTCAGGCCCGAGGCCTGAAGGAGCCAAGGTTGAGGCCCTCCTGTGCCCGCCCTGGGGACCAGGTAGGAGGGCATGTTCTGTTCTTTCCAGTTTCCTGGCTGGAGCCTTCACCCCTCAGAACCTCAGCTTCCTCATCTGTAAATGGAGGTGTCATAACTGCTACCCAAGTCCTTTCGCTCCCCACATCTTGGGCCCACAGCCACTGCCCCCCCAGAGGCAGGATGCCACAAAGTCAGGGACTTGGCCTCAGTGGCTGCTTGGGCTGGGTGGAAGAGGAGGGGGCAGAATGGGGAGTGCTACCCTGGCCTACCCTGCAGAGGGGTGCAAGGAACTCCAGTCTGAGCGCACCTGGACTCTGGCTTCACCCTTCCAGGGATGCAGCAGGGACCACACCGTAGGGACCCGTCCCTCTGCATCTGGCGCCATCAGTTCCTAACCAGGACACTGGAGGCTCACTGGGCGGTAGGGGCCTCGCTTGGTGTTTTACAACTGTCATCTTCTCGAGCCTCATACCCCTAAGAGGTGGGCATTACTATGTCCATGTTACGGGTGGAGAAACCGAGGCAGAGGGCCATGGTGTGACTTGTTCAAGGGCTCATGGCCCCAGGCAGCGTCTGGTCCTACAGGCTGTAGGGTAGGCCTGGGTCACCCAGGTAGCTGCAGGGAGACCTCTCTCAAGTCCCAAATCTGTAGCTGGGCCCCCTCAGCCTGGCCTCTCTGGGCTGCAGCCTCCCGGCCCTCCCACCACGAATGTGGGGTCGCAGTCCTCCCACGGGGCAGGCTCTGCCCCTCCCAGGGCCGCTCTTCCTTCCTGCCAGGTCTGCCATCCTGCAGCACAGCCTCAGTCATTTCTGAGACACTGTGTGGCCCCCACTGAACTGTGAGCCTCCCAGGGACAGGGATGGGGCCGCTTCCACTGTCCATAGCCTGGCGGGCTCCGAACACAGTGTCGGGCGTGCGGTAACTATTTGTGGGTTGCCCAAAGCTGCCATAGTCCCTCTGCCCTTTGCAAAGCTCACAGATCCATTACCAACCAATTAATTACCCTGGTCATGGACATCAAATTCACAGACTACCGTTCAATCAGACTATGATGCACTACCCCAAGCCCAAGACCGATCTAAAAAGCAAGCAGGCCCAGCCTGCCAGCCTAATGAAATGCTGCCACCAACAGAGGCGCTGGCCCACCCCCAGGGACCCAGAACACCACGCTCTCGGTGACGTCACCAACTCTGTCCATCCAGTGCCCAGCAAGGCCTTGGCCAGGGCTCCACCTTCTCAAGCCCACGGCCCCACTGAGTCCATGCTGCCCGGAAGGGGGGCAGCAGGCTGGGCTCCCAGGGGTCCAGACTGCTCAGGTGGCAGCTGGCAAAAGTGGGGTCAACCCAGGGCACAGCTCTGCCTGGAACAGAGGCCAGACCCCAACTGAGTCCTGAGCAGCAGGACTACATTTCCCAGAGTCCTCCAGAGCAGGGGCAGCCATTGGCAGATTTAAATAGCCCAGGCCCAGGCGGCCGGCAGCGTGGACTCGTCCACCTCCCTGCGGCTGTGTTGGCGCCGGCCCCTCACGGGTGGGCTCCATTGGCTGCCCAGCCGCCACTGACGTCCCGGCGGAGCCGGGTGACAGCCGGAGGTAAACAGCCATGTGCAATCCTCCTGTCTATATTTAACAGCAGCTGCAGGGAAGACAGGGAGCCAGGTGACCGTGGCAGCTCAGGCGGCCTTCGTCTTCGGGGACAAGGCCCTTGGAGCCGGGCTGGCACCGGCCTTCTGGGGTGATCGAGCGGGGCAGTATGCCAGCTTCCCAGAGCCGGGCCCGCGCCCGGGACCGCAACAATGTCCTCAACCGGGCCGAGTTCCTGTCCCTGAGCCAGCCCCCCAAGGGGACCCCAGAGCCCCGAAGCTCGGCTAGGAAGGCCTCGGGGCCCTCGGCACAGCCTCCACCTGCCAGCGAGGGGTCCCGCGAGCGGCGCCAGTCCCAGCAGCTGCCCGAGGAGGACTGCATGCAGCTGAACCCCTCCTTCAAGGGCATCGCCTTCAACTCCCTGCTGGCCATTGACATCTGCATGTCCAAGCGGCTGGGGGTGTGCGCCGGCCGTGCCGCATCTTGGGCCAGCGCGCGCTCCATGGTCAAGCTCATCGGCATCACGGGCCACGGCGTGCCCTGGATCGGGGGCACCATCCTCTGCCTGGTGAAGAGCAGCACGCTGGCGGGCCAGGAGGTGCTCATGAACCTGCTCCTGGGTGAGTGTGCCGAACCGCCTGCCCCCGGGCCCCGCCCCCACTGGCCAGGCCCAGCAGGGCCCTGGGAAACCCGCTGGACCAAACTAATGAGGTTAGGCAGGGAGGGCGCCCCAGAAACAGGCAGGCTCTGCGTGGTGACGGGAACTGGGGTGCAAACGGGGCCCCTGCACCTTGAGGGGCCTGTGCTCAGCAAGGGGCACTGCTGCCTGGAAGCCACTTAAAGAAAGCAGTGGTGACCCCAAGGCCGACTTGGATCAGGGTGTCACTGTCGACCTCCACCCACAGTCGGGGTCCTCGTTCCTAGACCGCTCACAGGTGGTGACTCCAAGCTGTCCCAACTGCTCCCCAAACCTGCTCAGTTCAGGGATGCTGCGGGCTCCCCTGGAGTCTCCTACGGGGTCTGGGGCCCAGGGAACCAGCCCGGGACGCCCCTCACCCAGTCTCCCCTGAAGTGTGGCCATGGGTCTGCTATCCGATGTAGGTGCCAGCCCCTCCTGCTGTGGCCCTGCCCTCTGCCAGCAGCCACGTGGGACCTGCATGGAAGGCAAGCCGTCCCCTCCACTGGAGGTGACACGCAGCCTCCATCCGGCCATCCCCAGGACCTCACCTCACACCCTTCTCTGCATGGCCGTCACTGGAGACGGGGCAGGGTCTCGGGCACAGTGAAACTGAACGGTACCTGGGTTCCTAAGTGGGTGCAGGCTGGGCCTCTGGTCCATAGGAGCTATGGTGAGAACCCATGTCGCCCCTCGGGTCAGAGTCCAGCCTGGGGCTGATGCAGAAGAAACATCTGGGGTCCCCTTGGGGAGGGGGTGGCTAGGTCTGCCACCACCATCGGAGATCTTGTCCTTGTTACTAAATTATCAGCTTGCATTACTTATTATTTTATCCTGAGTAGAGTCCCAGGGGCCTGGGGGCCTGTCGTCCCCATTTTACAGATCTGAGGAATCTGAGCTTCCAGTGGTGTGTGGTGGTGGCCGCCTGTCATCCCAGCACTCAGGAGGCTGAGGCAGGAGGATCACCTTGATTTCAAGGCCGGCCTGGGCCACATAGTGAGTTCAAGGCCTGAATGAAACAGCGAGACCCTGTCTCAAAAACAGAAAAAGGAATCTGAGGTTCCTATCCATAAGGCAACAGGCCCTGCCTTAGAGTGTGTGAGGGGGCTTTTACCAGGTTCCCCTGATCCACAGGCCTCTGCTCTTTATCGGCCGTGCCAGGGCCCTGGGTGAGAGGGACAGAGCCAGGTGGCCAAGGTCCTGGCTGAGGGCCTCCGGGGCAGAACCCGCTCCTTTGATACCCAAAGCTTCTCTGGTGCCCACAGCAGCCCCCAGGAAAACTGAGGCTCCAGAGGCCAGTACTGGGGCTAGGTTGCCTGGGTCAGAGGATGGGATGGCCAAGCCCCCCGGCCCTGTCTGTTCCTTCCTGCTTCCCCAAAGGAGGACAGAGGGCTGGAATTTGGTGAGTGTCTCTGCTGAGTGTTTTTCACCGGAAGCCCAACAGCTCAGAGTGGTTGCTAAAGGGGGAGACTGAGGCACAAAGCGATGACACACCCAAGGTGCTGCACTGACAGGGATGGAGCCAGGTTAGAAGAGGCTCGACTCTGACGTTGATCCACATCTTTCCAAGGAGGGCCGTTGGGAGCCCAGACGGAGTGAGGAGCAGAGGAGAAAGCAGGCATATCTTCAAGGGGGTGAGCTCCCCGTCACAGGAGCATGCCAGGAAGCTGCCCTCACACACAGCTAAAATAGCTCCACTTTGTTCTGATTTTCTTGTATACATGAACATTTGCATTTTGGAAAGATTTCCCTGCCCTGACATTTAAATTTTTCCAACTCTCATGTGAGGGTGAGGGTTCTGGCCTCCTCCCCCCAGCAGCCTGTTTGGCCACAGAAGTATCTTACTCCATAGCAGGAACAACACCCAAGGTGCCTCCTTTGTGGGATGCCTCTTCCATCTTCTGAATTTCATTTTTCAAAAGTTTTATTGTTTACATTTCGCAATTAGATTTGTGTTTGGTTTTTGAGACAGGATCTCACTGTATAGCCCAGGATCAAACTCGAGGCAATCCTCCTGCCTCAGCCTCCCGAGCGCTAGGCTTGATCATAGGCTTGTGCCACCCCGCCCACCTTTGGCAGGAGGGTTTCTGTCTGCCTACCAGGTGCTGAGGCCATGACAGATAAGGGGCTGCTGGGAAGCCACTTGGGGCACCCAGGGTGGGTCTAGGGGCCTGAACCACACTGTGGGGTGAGGCCCAGCCCATCGCATTGAGCCACCATAGAGCACAAACTGCCGCTTCCGATCCTTCAGCCTCAGCAGAGCCTGGGCCCCTCCTGGGCCGAGCAGGGTCCCTGGGGTGACTTTGTGCCCCTGTGCTCCGAGGGCTCCTGAGCATGTGTCCAGCTGCATGGCTATGGGGCTTCAGTAGGACCGAGGGAGCTGGGAAGGGGCACTGACCAAGGTCACTGTCCTAGTGGGCCCTCCGGGGAGCCCTGCCTGGCCACCCAGAACCCCGGGCACCCAACCGAAGCCCTGGGCCTCCATGCCTACGGCTGGGACCCTCGGGGGGCAGACTGGGAGGCCAGGGAACAGCTGCCTCCTCCTCCTCCCCCAAGACCGGGTCTGGATCCCTCGGCCAGGCTGGCCCTGTATGCACAGTGTCTTCCTGCCTCAGCCTCCTGAATGCTGGGAGACCCACTTCTGCCACCACACCCAGATCTCACTGTGATTCTGATTTCATCTCCCTAAGGCCTGGGGAGGTTGAGCACCTTCTCATTTTTCATTCTATGAGTGCAAGAAATAATTCATACAGTACAGGGGTGTCAGCCCAAGTAGAACAAACCTCGGATCCTCCTCCGGAGGAAAATGACGTTACATAAACTCTGGGCGTGCTCAGAGTCAAAGAGGCGGAGGCAAGGGAAGTTTTGTTTTTGTTTCTCTTTTGGGTACTAGGGATTGAACCCAGGGCCTTCCCACTAAGCTGCATCCCTGCCTGTTTATTTTATTTTTTTATTTTATTTTGAGACAGAGTCTCACTAAGTTGCCCATGCTGAGCTTGAATTTGTGATGTTCCTGCCTCAGCCTCCCAGGGTGCTGGGATGACAGGCGGATTTTTATTCTTTTTGTTTTGCTTTTTGGTACTGGGGATCGAACTCGGGTCCTTGCACTTGTGCAGCAGGCGGCGAAACCACTGAGCTAAATCCCTGGCCCGACAGGCGGATTTTTAAAGACAAAACTGTGGTTGAAACCCCAAACCCGGGCCCATGATGACGGGCAAAGGTTGCTTCAGGCCAAGGTGAACAGACACTGGCTGGGCCGCTGACCTTATGCTTTTGTCTAAGGTCACAGCGCCCTGAGGAGCCTGAGGGTCTGGCCGCTCTTCTGCTACCTTCAGACAGTGGGGGAAGAACCCGCCTTCCTCTGTACCCTCTTACTTTGTTTACTCTCCTTGTTAAGGTTGACATGGGTGGCTCCATTTTCATTCTGACAGCCTTCTCAGTTCTTTTTCTTTCTTTTTTTTTTTTTGGTACTGGCGATCGAACTCGGGTTCTTGCGCTTGCGCAGCAGGGGTCGGAACCACTGAGCTAAATCCCCAGCCCTTCATTTTGTGTTTTGAGACAGGGTCTCACTTGTGCTCCAGGCTGGCCTTGAACTCATGGCATCCTCCTGCCTCAGCCTCCCTCCCGAGTGCAGGGATCACAGGAGAGCATCACCACGCCCGGTCCACATCCCTGCCACAGAGGGTGGAGAGTGAGGTGTCCCCTCCGCCACCCCAGGAGTGGGCGTGGGTTTCTCTCTGCACCCCAGCCTGTGGCCCGCGGGCTCCTTCCTTTAGGGCCCCCATCCTCTCCCTGTCCGCCCCTGCTCTCGGGGACAACCCAAGTGACAGGCTCTCTGCATGCAGGCTGTGTGGCTCCCTGGCCAGGCGTGTTTAGCCCCCTAGGGGTAGGGCTGCCCCCTGCGCCGACCCCGCACTTCCTGTCATCTCCTTGGGGCTCATGGGACCCCACGTCGGGGTCCTGCACCCCTGGCAGCAGATGCAGAAGAAGGGAGCGAACTCTGCAGTGGCGGCCAGGTCCGCGAGTCACTTCATGCCAAGGCTGCTCTGGCCCAGTGCAGAGCTAGTGACCCCAGACGGGGCAAGCCAGGGACCAGCAGGACCCATCGAGGGCCGGGGGCTTGGCCGACTCATGGGCAGAGGCCAGGCAGGTGCTTGGACACAGGCCCGTGCACGCATGGGCGCTGCTCCCACCAGCAGAGCAGGAGCCAAGGCCAGGAGCCTGGTCCTTCCCTGGGGTCCCCTCGCCCCAGCTCTGCTGACCAGGCCTCCGGGGCTGTGTCCTTCACAGTGCTGCACTTGCTTTGTTTGTTTTTGGTTTTGTACTGGGATCCCACATAAGGCCTTCACACAGAGCTACATCCCGCCCCTTCTGTAGAAAGCTGAGAAGGGTCCGGCTAAGTTGCTAGGTTGCCCAGACTGGGCTCAGACTTTCCATCCTCCTGCCTCTGCCTCCCAGAGCACTGGGCATCAAGCACTCTCGCACTGTTACCAGCCATCACTGGCATCCACCCTGGAACCTTTTCACCTTGCAAAAGTGAAACTCTGGTTCTAAACATGATAGCTCCCCACTCCCGCAGCCCAGCCGCTTTCTACTTTGACTCTATGACTTCAGCTGCCCCAAGTCCCTCGGGTAACTGGAATCATACAGTATTCATCCTTTCCGGGCCAGGGATTTAGCCCAGTGGTTCCGTCGCCCGCCTCGAAAGCACAAGGACCCGAGTTCAATCCCCAGTACCAAAAAAAAAAAATTCCAGTATTCATCCTTTTATGAAAATAACTTTTTAAATTGTTCGTGTAGTACCTGTAGTCCCAGCTCTTAGGAGGCTGAGGCAGGAGGATCACCTCCGAGTTCAAAGCCAGCCTGGGCTACATAGCAAGACCCTGTCTCAAAAAAACAAAACAAAAAGAAAAATAAATGTTTTTAAACCTTTAAAAAAATGTGCCCCAATACTACCTATACACAGTACGGACAATTTTTAGGCAGAATTACGAAAGGGAAATGAAAACCCCCTTCTCCCTGCCCGGTGGGAAGCACTGTGCCCTGGGGCTTGAGCCCTGCAGGAGGCCCTGCGTGTGTACTGCTGTCTGGACGCGTCTCCGGCCACAAACCCTGCAGCTCCTTGGGGCTGTAAATCACCTCGGTGGATGCCAGCGCTCCATTGTCTAGATGGGCCGTGGTGTGTCGCGTCTGCCTCCTGTGAAGGACACTGGGTCGATCTCATTCTCTGCTGTCACTGCTGCAGGACGCCCCAGGAGCAGAGCTTCGCACAGCTGGGGCCGGAGGGGAGCAGGAGCAGGGTCAGTTGGGCCAGGGCTCCAGGACCCTCCTGCAGGCCCGTCCGTCCCTCCTCCAGCCACCCTGGGTCCCCAAGAGGCCCCATCTTTGCTCCTTGTCTGTCACCAGCAAGCTCCGGCCTCTACCTCTCCAGTGCGTCCTCCGGGCCCCTTAGCCCCACCCACCCACAGGGGCCACTCGAGGTCCTCCGTCCCGTGAGCACGGCCATCTGCAGACAGGGGTGTTTGGTTTCGGACCCCAAATCCTGCAGTTTGGCCTCTCTCTTCCCTGGAAGCATCGGTTCCTGCTCGGCCCGGGGTCCCTGAGTTTGGGTCCCAGGGGAAGAGGCCACCGAGACAGGGTCCCAGCACCCTCTGTGTTCGTGTCTGGGGCCTCCAGGGTGCAGGAATGGCTGGGAGACTCGGGTGTGCGGACCCCACCCCCGGGCAGCCTGAGGACGCAGACTGCAGCAGTGCCACTGACCACCCTGGTCACGTGCGGGTGCCCTGAGGCATCGCCCAGCATCGAGGGGCCGTGGGACACGGGTGTGCTGCACGCTGAGACCCTGACCCATGTCTGCCTGGAGTGAGGGCCCCGCCACCCCCCAGCCGACCACAGTGCCTGGAGCCCGGCGATGCTGAGGGATCTGCTGCACCACCCAGGCAGGCCAGGGCCCCTGTGGCTGGCTCAGAGTCCCCAGTGCCTCACAGCAGCCGGCCACAGCGTGGGGAGGGGAGGCCACGGGTACCACCGGCCTGCCCGGATGCCACTCTCTCTGGCTGCAGGTGACGGCCTGGCTCCCTCTCGGCCATAGCTCAGTCCTCAGTCCGCCTGGCACACACTGATGTCCCCAGGAGCCGCCTCTGAGGTCTCTGGGGACAGAGCACACGCATCGGACACTGCAGTCCTGTCACCCACCCTGGTCTTTACGTTGCCAGCAAATGTGCAAGGTTTGGGTCCAAGCCAGGTCTGTCATCCCAGTGCTCGGAAGGCTGAGGCAGGACGGCTGAGAGTTTAAGTCAAGCCTGGGCCACATAGCAAGGTTCTTGCCCAGTGGACCTGGATTCCGGGAGCGCGGGAGGTGGAGGTCCTGTGTTCCCTGCCTGTGGTTGTGCCCAGAGCCTTGGGGAAAAAGATCCTTTCACTGATGCTTGCTCTTGCTGCCTGGGAGCCAGTCTGGAAAGCATCTGGTGCTTCCCTGGGCCAGGTGAGGCCTAGGAGAGGGCTCCTGATGTGGGGATCAGTTGGCTGGCTCTACCACCGGCCTCCCTGTGGCTCGAGAGCCAAGAGCCCGCCTCCCTCCGGACCTCCTGCCCTATGCCTGGGGACTGTGACCTCCCCAGGCCAAGATGGCTGCAACGCTGGACTGGCCTCAGCGGCACACAGGCTGGCCAGCCACCTCAGGCAGCAGGACTCAAAGCAGTGCCAGGAGGCGTGGTCACACACACATGCCAGCTCCACACCCGCTGCTCTCAGGCCAGCGGTCTCTGAGGGGCAGGGGCAGGGCGAGTGAGACTTAGGTTTTGCAGATGTCCTGCAGCAAACGTGAGCTGTCACCTTCCCCTCCCTCCCTCTCTCTCTCTCTCTCTCTCTCTCTCTCTCTCTCTCTCTCCTTCCGTTTGTTTGTTTATTTAGGTACCAGGGACTGAACTCAGGACCTCACGATTGAGAGGCAGGCGCAATGCCACTGAGCTACATCCCCGGCCCTGTTTGTTTATTTTTGAAACAAGGTGTTGCTATGTAGCCCGGGCTGGTCTCAGACTCGTAGCGATCCTCCATCCTCAGCCTGCTGAGTCCTGGGGTTATAGGCATGGGCCACCATGCTCACATGTCTCGGGTAGAGCAGGCATGGAGAGCCAGCCACACTGACACACACAGTGAGCTTCGTAGGAAGCCGCCTACTCAGGCTGAGGTGTTTTTTTTAGTACTGGGCACTGAACCTGGGACTTTTACACTGACCTACAACCCCGGCCCTTTTTTATTTTAATTTTAATTTTGTTTTTTTTTGTTTTTTGGTACTGGGGATCGAACTCAGGAACTTGCGCTTTCGAGGCAGGCAGAGGAACCACTGAGCTACATCCCCAGCCCTTTAATTTTTATTTTGAGATAATGTTTTATTAAATCATGAAGTTGCCTGGGCTGGATTTGAATTTGAGACCCTGTTGCCTCAGCCTCCCACGGTGCTGGGGTTACAGGCCTTTGCCACCAGTAATCATTCTTCCCCCTATCCAGCTTGTCTGGTGGGCTGAACATTTGAGGGGGCCACTGGGAGGACAGTGGGTCCTATCTAGGGGGCAAGTAGCCACAATCAGAGGAGGAAAATCAAGCGACATCACACAGATGCCATACCATGCTGCTGAGGTCATCTTTGCTGTCCCTGCAGAAGGCCCTACAGGTGCTGTGGCCTCACGGGTGACTAAGTCACCATGGCTACACAGAGCTATCATGTGATCCCCCAACTCCACCACTAAGGAAACACCCAAAAGAGCTGAAAGCACGATTTTGCACCGATATCCACAGCAGCAGCAGCATTAACAGTGGTGCCAGTGGAAACACCCCAGTCTCCATCAATGGACAGACACACTGTGGCATATCTGTTCAGGGAAATATTATTCAGCCAGGAAAAAAGGAATAGTCTTGAGCCATCTGCAACATGGGTGAACCCCGAAATGTTAGGCCAAAGGCAGGAAGCCAAGGCAAAAAACCACCTACTGTCTGATTCCATTCGTATGAAATGTGTGGCAAAGGCAAATCCCCGGAGCAGGAAGCAGCCTGGTGGTTGACAGGGCCTGGGGCAGGGCCGATGGGACTGAGTGCCTCATGAGGACAGGGTTTCCCTGGGGGGCGATGGATGTCACAGGTTCCGGCCTCCTGGTGGTGGGAAGGCGAGTGCAAAGGCCCTGGGGTGGGTCCTGTGTCGGAGTGGTGGGAGGGACAGAGGCTGGGCGTGGGTGGCACTGATGGGCTGGCCTCTTCCCCCACCCAGCCCTGCTTCTGGACATCATGACAGTGGCGGGCGTGCAGAAGCTCATCAAGCGCCGCGGGCCATACGAGACCAGCCCAAGCCTGCTGGACCACCTCACCATGGACGTCTATGCCTTCCCCGCCGGGCATGCCAGCCGTGCCGCCATGGTGTCCAAGTTCTTCCTCAGCCACCTGGTGCTGGCGGTGCCACTGCGCGTGCTGCTGGTGCTCTGGGCGCTGTGCGTGGGGCTGTCGCGCGTCATGATCGGCCGCCACCACATCACAGACGTGCTCTCGGGCTTCGCCATCGGCTACTTCCAGTTCCGCCTGGTGGAGCTGGTCTGGATGTCCTCCAACACCTGCCAGATGCTCATCTCCGCCTGGTGAGGCTCCCGCCGCTGCTGCAGGCCTGAGAAGCAGGCTCCCCCGGGGACTCAAGGCTGGCAGTGCCCGCCCAGCCCTCTGCTGGGCTCTGGGGCTGCTCTCCAGGTGCTGGGGCCCAGCCTGGCTTGGCTTCCTCCTGGGGACAGCGCCTGAGACTAAGATGACAGCAGGGGCTGGGTCTCGTCTGCACCACGTGGCCCCAGATGTGGATTCCTGACTGTGCCCACCACACTGCCAGCTGGGTCCATGGCCACGGAGAGCCATTGAGGGCTCAGGGTGCCCTCGGGACACCGGCCTGCAGTCCTGGGGTGTGGGCCACCACCCTGGGAGTGGCCACAGACTGCCCACGATGGACACTGAAGCCTCTGACCAGTCCCGCCCAACCCTGTTTGGGCCTGCGTTTGCTAGACGGACCCGAGCACAGGCCCCTTTCCTGGAGGATTCCCCCATCCAGGCCAGGGAACTGCTACCCAGGCAGGGATCAGGATGGGAATGGGGCGTCGGCCCCCAGGCCCAGCTCTGTGGGACCTGTCCACCAGCTGTAAACACATGTGCACCTCCGTGATAATACAGGCGGCACACGGGCGCACGCTCGCATGGTTTCTAGCTTGTGCAGTGCCCCAAACAGCGCTGGCGTGGCTCAGGCCGGCCTGGTGCTGGGCCCCCAGGATGCCTGGTCCTTCTTCCTGGGCCCCTGCAGGGGGCTCTTCCAGCCTCACGGCCAGGGCCTCTTTGCCCTGAGGCCGGGCACTGTGACGGTGGAGGGAACCTGGGGAGCCCCAGTCCCCTGGCACCAGCCTCCAGCCCTCACCCAGGGCGCACCAGGTCCTGCTCCCCGGGAAGTGTCCCAGAGTCCCCAGCCACACCCTGACTAATAGACGAGAACTCCAGGCCCAGGCAGGGCAGGGACTTGCCCCAGGCTGCCCAGCCAGGGCCCACAGGGTGTAGCCAGGCCGCCTGCCCCTCCCGGTGGCCCTTGGCTCTCACTGTATCCCCACCCCACCCCCCTGAGCCCTGTGCTTCATCCCCTGGGCTAGGCCGTCTCCCCATCAGCGCCTGTGTCCAGGGAAAGCAAGCTCTGGTCACGGCCTCCTGACAGCCAGGACTGCAGCGGCTCCTTGGCCCCGATTCCCTCCAGCCTGCCTTGTGCCCGGCAGGGCTGGGGGCACCCGTTTCTGAGTCCGGCTGCCCAGAGGAGCTTCAGCGTCTGCTCTTCATTCCTGGCTGCTTCCATGGCCTCCCGGGTCCCTTCTGCAGTTCCAACGGTGCTCACTCGAGATCCCCCCTGGCCCTCGCCCCCACCTCTGTATCTGTCAGCCAGGTGGGGCTCAGCTAGGCTGTTTCTTGCACTACTGGAGAATGAATTCAGCCCCTTTGCATTGAGCTACATCCCAGCCCTTCTTTGTTCTTTATCTTGAGGCAGAGTCTCAAGCTGTCCAGGCTGAGTTGGGATTCTCCTGCCTCAGCCTCGTAGAGTGCTAGAATCCCAGGCATGTGCCATCAATGCCAGCTATGCTGGGGGACAGACAGGCTTCTGGCCCCTGGTGTGCATTCCCTAGCAGGGACATGTGTTCCTGAGGTTCAGCCTTGGCAAGGGGTGGGGGAGGAGTGTCTTTAGGATTTGGGGGGCTGAGGAATGGGGTCTGGAATCCACGTCCTGTGAGGCAGCCAAGCTGGTGCCGGCTCAGGTGCTGACCCCCCCAGCCCCAGTCTCCTCATCTGTCAGAGAGGGGTGACAGTGGTCCCCAGGGGCCGGCTGTGAGCCAGGGGTGCCGTCCATGTGGCACCTGGACAAGTCTGTGCCCTTTGCTCATCACTGGCTGCCGGCACCACTGCCCCGGTGGTATGGAGGAGTAGGGCCCCGTGCCCCGTGCTGGGCATGGTGGGAACAAGGCCTGCTCCATGCCATCCTCCCTCCCCACAGAGATGGGTGATGGCAAAACACAGTTTGTGTTTTAATGAGACATCAGCCTGGGTGGTGGCCACGCCTATAATCCCGGCACTGGGGAGGCTGAGGCAGGAGGATCACCATGAGTTTAAGGCCAGCCTGGGCCACATATCAAGACCCTGTCTCCAAAAATCAAAAACAAACAAAAAATAGACACATTGCCATGAATCCTCCTCAAAAATCCTCCCCTTCTTTTTGAACACACTTATCCCACCAGCCTTGCCACTTTCTGAAACAGCCCTGGAGTCCTCTTTCCTGAGTGTCTTTATGAGGTGTGATTAAAAATGTAAATGCTGGGCCCGGGATTTAGCTCAGTGGTTTCGCCACCTGCTGCGCAAGCCCAAGGACCCGAGTTCCATCCCCGGTACTGGAAAAAAAAAAAATGTAAATGCTGCTGCCAAACGCCACCCAACGCAAAGACAGGGCTGTAAAAACATGAGGCTGTGGGGCCCGGGATTTAGCTCAGTGGTGCTGCCACCTGCCTTGAAAGCTCAAGGTCCTGAGTTCGATTCCTAGTTCAAAAACAAAAAAAACAAAAACATGAGGCTGTGCCATCCAGCTTAGTCACTGGACCCAGCCCCATGCGACTCCCGGTTCTTCCCCAAAGTCAAAATAACCATGAAAGGAGGAGGTTTTGAATCAATTCAGGACACCAAGACAGCCAGGATGGTAACTAAAGACTCTCAGGAAAGAGGACTCCAGAGCTGCTGCAGGAAGCGGCCAGGGAGCTGGGACGAGTGTGTTTGAAGTGAGGGGAGGCTTTGAGGGGATTCCTGGCCGTGTGTCTTCTACTGCAGTGATTTTTCATGTGAACACACACCGTATCTTCCAGGCACTCCTCACAGACCCAGCAGCCTTGTCCTTCTCACTCATGCCCAGGCCGGGCACTGGTCCTGAATTTTCCCAGGTCCCCAAGCTCCCTGCCAGGCCCATGACAGCCTCCGCCCTGGGGAGTCTGACACAGCTTTACACCCTGGGACCCCCAAGCCGTGGCTGTGCAGGGTGGGGAGGTCACAGGCTGCTCAGCAGACCCAGCCCCACCTTCCAGCCCTGGAGGGTCACCAGGCCTCTGGGCCTCAGCTGCTGTGTGCCAGGACTGACTTCTCCTTGCATGAGTTGTGTGGGTCAGAGAGGGTGTCTGGGGTCCAGCCTGGCATGGAGGGGCTCAGGCCACTGGCCCTGGCATCCTCCAGGCACCGAGAGGCACATCTGGGCTTGGACACACACAGGGCCAGGGAGTGGGGACCCCGACATCATGGGGACCCCAGGGCACCCGACTTCTGGCCATGGCTCCCCGGACCCCTGGGGGGGAAGGCTCTGTCTTTTTCCCTCTGAGACTGCAGTTTCTGGGAACCCTCGAAAGGCTGTGCAAGGCTGAAGTGCCCACAACAGGAGACAGCACTGCTGCAGAATCGTGGCCCTTCCAAGGAGCCTGCCCCGTCTCCATGGCAACCGCTAGACTTGAGGCATTCTGGCTCCTGGTCCCACGAGAGCCGGGGCCCTGCATGTGTCCCCTCCAGCCCCAGGAAGTGACCAGTGCCCGGAACCAGCCTCAAAGTTGGTGGGGGTGAGGTGGGTGTGCGGGGCACAGGCTCCCCTCTGTCACCTGGTGGGCAGGATTCAGGGAGGGGACGAGAGGGACAGAAATGCAGCTCAGGGCCTTTGCACTAAGCTACATTCCCAGCCCTTTTTAATTTTTTATTTTGAGACAGTGTCTCCTAAGTTCCCAAATTGCCCAGGTTGGGCTGGCACCCTCCTGCTTCAGCCTCCCAGAGTTGGAGATGACAGGTGTGCACTCCATGCCCCACCCTTCTTTTACTGACATAGATGAGGGACCCAGAGCTGAGGAAGGCAGGGGCCTGGAGCGGGGAAGGGGACCTGACCCTCCCTGGAGTCCCCGGAAGGGCCTTGGGACTTCCAGGACACCGGGACAAGGAATGTGTGCTCTTCCCAGCCCAGGCTCAGGCATCTGCGCAGCTAACCCGATGAAGGAGCCCTCGGGGCTGAGAGGGCCCAGTGGAATGGCTCCAGCCGGCTGACTCAGGGAAGGGGTGCGAGAGGCACCCCAGACACCACGCAGCGCTTAGGGGCTGGCTGTGTCCCCAGAGGCGTCCCCGTCAGAGTCCCCGCCTGTCCCAGATGGGGCGGCTTGGAGACAGGGTCTTTAAAGAGATGGCCGCATTAAAACAAGGGTGTTAGCGTGGACCCAGTCCCAAAGTGGCTGATGTTCTTACAGAAGGGAGATTAAAACCCAGGCAGGGTACCACGCACTTGTAATCCCCGTACTTGGGAGGCTGAGGCAGGAGGATCGGTGTGAGTTTGAGGCCAACTTGTGCTACATAGTTCAAGGTCAACCTGAAGGGCATAACAAGAGCCTGTCCCCAAAAAAACAAAAACGATTGTAAAAAGCAGAAGGGAGATTAAGACATGGACACACACAGAGGGACACTGTTAAGGCGGATTGATGAGGTCAGTGGTGTCCCCGGGCACCTGAGGAAGGACAAGGCCAGGCCCAGAAGGGCAGCACAGGTGCGGGGTGTGCAGGAGGCCCAGGCGTCCCGTGGCAGCCCCCTCTCTGGAAAGCCCCTGCCCCAGCCTCGGCAGCCGCTACTGTTCAAAGTCCCAACGCCCTGTACAGGGAGGATCCAGAAGCTGGAAAAGCCAGGGACTCCCAGATCCTTCGCCATCTGGCCCGGGAGGGAAGGGAACATCTGGCACCCTCCTCGGCCACACGTTATGTAACCCGCTTGTGCTCACACCAGGCCAGGGCCCCACCCGGCCAGATCGGCTGACCTTCCCACGTGTGCAACAGGTCGCACACGCAGCCGGAGGAGGCCATGTGCCAGAGACCCCTGTAGTCAGGTTCCAGTACGCACCTGCCCAGTGTGCGATGCAGGCCTGATAAAAAGAATACACCGAGGGACAGAATTAGGAGAGAAAGCGGGGGCCAGGACAATCACTGCTGGTGCAGCGGACTAAAGGCGCTGGCCAGTGCCAGGCACTGACTTTTATTGGAAATCAATTGGGGTAAAGGCGACGTGTGGTTTCTATGGAAATTAATGTAAACATGGCTCATAAAAGACAAGACAAGACAATAGGGCCGGGGATTTAGCTCAGTGGTTCCGGCGCCTGCCTCAAAAGCACAAGGTCCTGAGTTCGATCCCCGGTACCAAAAAAAACAAAAAACAAAACAAAACAAAAGACAAGACAATGCACTCCCAAATTAGGAACAGAATAGACAAAATATGATTGTAGGTGGAACATTGTCCTTCTAGTCTGAAGGTTTCAGTTGTGGGAACGGAATTTGGGTGCACGTTACCCTGACCTCGGCACATAGGCTTCGGCCGGACTCACTTCTATAAACAACCAGTCATGAGGTTAGCGCCTCACAGCCTGCCTTGGGCATTATCAGTATTACAGTCCTCTGCAGCCGTGGGGACAGGACAGTGCCCGCCCGGTGGCCTACAGCAGTACCAAGGCACAGAGCCTGCAGGTCTGTGGGCACACACACACACACACACACACACACACAAGTCTGGACACAGAGCACACCATGTGCTTCCTCAGCGTGCATGGAGGTCCAGACACGTGTGCACTCACACCTGCACCAGATTCATGTGTGCACTTTGATATAAAATT